TGTATACAAAACAAAATGAATGTTTGTTAAACAAAATTCTAACAAAGTACAAAAATTTAATTTTCTATATAAATTAGGACATTTTTTTTTCAAAGAATGTGCACTGATCACTTGTACCTGAATCACCTGGAATATTTGTTTAAAACACAAATGAGAAAAAAATCATAATTTCTGGGGCATAAAAACTAAAAATCCTCATTCTCAACAAGTGTATCTCTGATTCTAATGCTAAAGGTTGAGAGCTACTCTCAGCCCAAGCCATAGAATTTCAGTTGGGAATTTATAAATTCATGATGCAGCCTGTCTGGACTCTTGTTTCTCTGTTTTAATGAATGATGTGTATATCAAACCTGCTCCTTGGTTCTTCATAAATAAGTGATCCAAAGGTAAGCAGGGTAACAATCTTTAATTTGTAAAAGTAAGTATTTTTGCAAAATTGTGTCAAAGTTTTGCACTTAATAAAATATTAAACTTCTTGAGAAATACTCAATAGCCTTATAAAATTGTTTTCAGGGTAAGTAAAAAATTATCCCCAAATCACCTTTCTAAAGAAAGGAGGCATAAAAAAATAAGATTCAACTAGACTCCTGTAATGTAACCATATTACATTACAACCACGAGAGAGAACTTTTTATGAAGTCCCTTCCTTACCTAGCTACTACTTTTATTTCTAGATTCAGTTTAAATGTTCTTTTCCTGGGAGGCCCACCTACTCTCTCTAAACTAAAGTGTTACTTTTACCATGGCTAATCCGTGGCATTAAAACCTGATGAAATAAGGATGCAGATCTGCAGTGTGGTCACTTGGCCTCCTTCCTGACTCTTCTTCCTGCCCCCTGCAACCTACCCCTCCGAGCCACCCTGAAAAATGCCCACATTCACTCTACCTTCCTAAACCCTCTGCAGCGGTTCTCAACCTGTGGGTCACGACCCCTTTAAGGGTCGAACAACCCTTTCACAGGAGTCACCTAAGACATAACAGTAGCAAAATTACAGTTATGAAGTAGCAATGAAAATAATTTTATGGTTGGGGGTCACCACAACATGAGGAACTGTATTAAAGGATCACGGCATTAGGAAGGTTGAGAACCACTGCTCTAGAGCCTTAAGGGCTCAGCTAAGAACAATACTTCCTTAGGAAGCTTATGAGGCCAGGCCCCCTTGGATGATGATATAGCAACTAAATAAAATACCACTCAGGCTGCTTTTAGCTGCAAGTAAGAGAAAGCATGCTACAAACTTTACCCTGTAAGGAAATAAATTACTGTGTGTCAACCAGGTTGGAAATTCCTCGGGAAGGCCTGCTTCAGCGATGACTACCCATAGGCTGGGTTCTCTGCCCACCTATATGTCCCCCTACCCCAGGCTACTCCCTCCTGTCACTCCACTTGGTCAGAGATTACAATTTAGGGAAAGAGAGCATAACTTTGGAAGCCTCTCTTTGAGGCATGTGATCCCTTTTTCCTCAGAAGCTTCTGGAAACCTCTCCTTTAGTTTCAGTGACCCAAATGGGCTCAGCTTCCCCATCCTGTGCTGGTGTTAAGAGGTGGGAAAATCAAGATTAATTCACAGTGCTTGCCCCCTTTTACACCACTGTACAACCAGAAATTGTAGTATATAGTATGTAGTAGCATACTCTAGGATAACTGGATGCAGCTGTTCAGTGCAGAGCCTGGGACTGACCTAGGCTCTGACCTTGGGGCTGAAGGGATCAGTAAATAAGCACATCTGGAATGAATAAATTTCAGGCATGTCAGGGGTAAGCTTTGGTTGAAATCAGTGGGTCCTCAAGCAACAGTTTAAACACCTGCTTTTGTAAATAAAGTTTTATTGGGACATAGTTATACCCATTCATACATGAAGTACATTTCATGTTACAGCTGCAGAGCCAAGTAGGTAAAATAAAAAATATATGGTTCACAAAGCTGAAAAGATTCACTTCTCTGTCTTACAGAAACACCTGCCAACCTCTAGCTTAGTCACCAACTAGAGAGGAATAATACTGGCAAGGCAACCACAGTGCTCGTTGCTCTGTCTGACATCTTTCTTTCTAACACACTTCTCTGCCTCTCCTCTCCTGCTAGTTTTTAAGTTCCCTTGGGGGCAGGGAATATTGCCTTCTAAATTACTTGCTGGTGTTATGTCCCAAGCACCCAGTACAGGGTCAGCCCCCATAAATATCTGTCGGCTGAGTGAGTGAATGCATGAGCTCTTTAAATAATCTTTCATGTGGGCATGGAAGCAATGACTTCTTTCAGGATGTGCTCTAGAAAGAGAGGAACAGCATTTCAGTTATGGCATGCCAAGAAAGTCAACCATATTCTACAGTAAGGAGGGCCTGAACCTTAACAACATTAGCCTTTCCCAACCTTTGGGAGGAAGAAGTGCCCACACACTGTCTCTCTTGAGAGGCAGAAATAAACTCAGATTCTTAGAAGTGGCAGAGGCAGGGCGTGGCCACAGTAAGCAGTGGGTATACTACTAAAAATGAACTCCAGAGTTCTCCTCACTGAGAATGCTCACCCTCACACACATGCTGTGGCTCCCAACTCCAAATTTGCTCCATAGCCTGTGACTTCACTTACTCACTAAAGTTCAACCCTAATCAGTGTTCAGGGGAACAGTAAGCATTTCTTAAAGGTAGTAAACATAGGCAGTCCAGTGGGACAGGCATGGTGATATCTCTATGCCACAATTTCTCTTTATATTTTCTTTCTAAAGCAAAGATAACAGTCTGCAAAAAGAACAGTGACCTGGAGAAAGCAAATGCGATACATTCAAAGTACTTCTCCAGGGGACCTAGGAACTCATTTTATCTGTGAATGAGTCAGTTTGTTTTTTTTTTTCTCATCATGCAGTCTAAAAGAAATTTATAAATAAAAAGGTAAATATTAAAATGACACTACAGTTTTTAAATTGCTAAAATGGCTTTAGTGAGTTTAACAACTGAAGATATCATTACCATTAGCAAAGAGACTAGAGGTGTTTTGTTTCTTATTTTGAAGTTTAAGTTTGACATTTTTGATCCACAATGCTGAGAAGATATGGAACACTGGGGTGAGGTACTGAAGGTAAATAACAAGATCTGGGTTTTATTATCACCTGCTGATTAGTGTAGTGACACACAATAACAAGAGAGATCTGCTAGAACAGGATTCTAATGAAGTTGAGGCCCAATATGAAATAACCAAGAAAGCTTCAAATACCAGAGCAAGGAAAATGCCAAATGCTATGTTAAAGTATCTCTCTGGACACAGTTTGCTTTCCTAAAACAAACAAAACGCCAATAGGCAACATTGTGCCAGCATTTTCCCCTTCTGCTAATTTATGGCAAGCACAAACAATCCAGATTCAAGAAAGTCTTATCATCAAGGAGGAAGAATGGCAGAGGATAATCTCTTAGTTTGTATTAAGGCAAATGAGGTGGTTTTTAGAGCACCATATTCTCTACCAAAAGAGCCAGTATTATTTTGAGTGAAGCAGGGTGTTTTTCATCCATTGTGTCAAATAAAAATTGCTTCATTTCAATTTCACAGAGCTTTGATATGTTAACACATCTGTCCATTTTTCTCAGTATCTAATAGAACAAAATTTTTCATAGAAGTTCTACATAAAAATAATTTTAAATGATTTGGGATATGGTAATACTGCCATTAGACCAATTACCTCAAATTTTTTCTTCTATGGGTGAAATATTTAATGTGAGAATGGATGTTTAAGTTAGTAACTCATTATGCACTAATGGCCAGAAACAATCTCTCTATCCACATATTAAGGGAAAATATTTATTATCATTTGGCAATGCATCTTACAGGTTCATAGTCTTTGGTCCAGTGACATAAATTCTAGAAAAACACCCTGAGAAAATAATTCTATTAGGGAAAAACTTATATTCATTAAACTATTCATTAATTACACTATGTCTTTAAAGAACAGAATCTGGAATAGAAAGAAATAAGGAAATGGTTAGGTTAATGTAGGTTTACCATTGAAGTGAAATATTATCCCATTATCACAACTTATAAAGGTGAAAACCATGTAGTATGCAAACAAATGTATAGATTGCTAAGCATAATACATTATATCTACAAGTAAAAACTATGTGAAACTTTCTGATGAGTACACAGAAAAATTCATGAGCCCTTCACCAATGTGTGAATTCTCACCTCTTCTGCTTCTCTATGGTCTCCTGATGAACTTTTCTCATTTCTCCCCTGTACTTTTGCTGTACCACAATCCTTGCTTGCAAGGTGTTTCTGTCTACTGCAAGATAATCCACACACATCACTTTGTTCAAAATTTAAGTTGATTCCTATCTGTTTCACAAAGCAGTCTATTGCTCTGGAGTGAAATTGCTGTAGAGTCCTTAGCCCCTATTGGTTTTGTTTGCTTTATCTTCTTAGATAGAGTATGAATTCCATAGAAAATTACTTTTAGCATTTTCAATGAGTAATAAATATATGATTTTGAATTAATTAATAAATATAAACACTTCAGAGCAAGGGTTATTTCTTTTCTCTGTATCTATAATATTTCCCATAGTTCAGGCAAACAGTAAATTATTGATGGCTCTTCACTGAAACAGAAGGATAAATGGATGTATGGGTAATGTCACACATGACTCTGGTGGCAATATTGGCATGTGTTTTTCTTCCCCATCCCTTTTCTACCTTCTTCTCCTATGAAACATCAGATAGGTTCTTTTCTAAAAGGTGTGCCAGCCTTGGCTGATTTGGCTCAGCAGTTATAGCAATGGTCCACAGACCAAAGAGTCTCGGGTTCAATTCTAGTCAAGGGTACGTACCTTGATTGTGGTTAAGTCCCTGGCCCCGGTTGGGGTTATGCGGGAGGCAACCAGTTGATGTGACTCTCTCATATCAATGTTTCTCTCTCCCCCACCCCTTCCTTCCCATTCTGTCTGAAAATTAATGGAACAATATGTTCTGGTGAGGATTAAAAAAAAAAGAAATAAAAGATGTGCCATCTATGAAGAGAACTTACCCAGGTCAAACTGGCCAGATATGTAGCCACAAGTCTGCCGAACTTCCTCACTGTCCCAGCCCAAGGGGTAGAGGGCGCAGCCAGCACCAATCAACAAGCCTGCAAAGAGGTAAGAGAGGGGCTTTACCAGTGTCCCTCTGTATCCACAGATAAAGGCACCAGGGGAAAATCAATATGAGCAATGTAACAAAGGAGCATGGTGTCTGTTTTCTGGAAAGTAGCAGCCACAGCTCCCTCAAGCCATCTAAAGTTAGATTCCAAAAATAATTTCCAGTCGCTTCAAAGGAAAAAAGAGGCCAGCTGGTGGTTGCTCATTGACCCAAACACCAGGAGGTTGCTGGTTCTATTCCTGGTCAGGGCACATGTCCAGGTTATGGGCCAAATGCCCAGTGGGGGTTGTGCAGGAGGCGGCCAATCAATGTTCTCTCTCATAGATGGTTTTATTTCCCTCTCCCTTTCCCTTTCTCTCTCTCTAAAGTCAAGAAAGAAAATGAATAATAAATAAATAAATAGGAAAAAGAAAAAAAAAACCCACCTTGACAGACAGCTTAGTTTGGTTTCAACTTTGCCTTTTAAAGCATTAAAAGCCTTATTTTAGGAAACAATCTTTTTTAGGAAATAAAATCCAGAAGTCCTTTTAATTACTCTTGTAAAAAGCCAACCAATTCCACCATCAATCTGTGTCAAGTAATTCAAGACCAAGCAAAAGTGCCTAATAGGTTAGGGTTCCTCATTTAGTAGGTGGTTTTTCCAATTTAAGAATCAAAATAGGATGTTTCAGCATTATCAAATTTTAACAGGGTGAGAGAGAACATACAGATTCTCATAAACTAAACTTGAACAGACCAATAACAACAGAAGAAATTGAAGATGTAATCAAGACTCTCCGAGCAAACGAAAGCACAGGCCCGGATGGCTTCACGGGGGAGTTTTACCGAATATTCAAAGAAGAACTAATACCCATTCTTCTCAAACTATTTGCAAAAATTCAAGAAGAAGGAAGACTGCCAAACTCGTCTTATGAAGCCAGCATAATTCTAATTCCAAAACCAGAAAAAGACACTACAAAGAAAGAAAACGACAGGCCAATATCCCTGATGAACATAGATGCCAAAATCCTAAATAAAATACTAGCAAATGTTATCAAGCAATACACCAAAAAAATTATCCACCATGACAAAGTGGGATTCATCCCAGGGATGCAAGGCTGGTACAATACTCGCAAATCCATAAACGTGATACACCACATAAATAAAGCGAAGAATAAAAATCACATGATCATATAAATAGATGCTGAAAAAGCCTTCGACAAAATCCAGCATCCATTTCTGATAAAAACACTCAGCAGTGTGTGAATAGAGGATCATATCTAGACATAATAAAGGCCATATATGAAAGACCTACAGCCAACATCATACTCAATGGGCAGAAACTAAAAGCATTTCCCTTAAGAACAGGAACAAGGCAAGGATGCCCACTTTCACCACTCCTATTTAACAGTACTGGAAGTCTTATCCACAGCAATCAGACAGGAAGAAAAAATAAAAGGGATCCAAATTGGAAAGGAGGAAGTGAAATTATCATTATTTGCAGATGACAAGATCCTATACATAGAAAACCACAAAGACTTTATCAAAAGTTTACTAGACTTAATAAATGAATTTGGCAAAGTAGCAGGATACAAAATTAATGTCAAGAAATCGATGACATTCCTAAACACCAATGATGAACTCACAGAAAGAGACACTAAGCAAACAATCCCATTTACCATTGTGCCAAAAAAATTAAGATACCTAGGAATAAACTTAACCAAAGAAATAAAGGACCTATTCGCAGAAAATTACAGGTCATTGAAAAAAGAAATAGAGGAAGATATAAAAAAGTGGAAGCACATACCCTGTTCATGGATTGGGAGAATTAACATCATTAAAATGTCCATATTACCCAAAGCAATCTATAGATTCAACGCAATCCCCATCAAAATACCAACGGCATACTTCACAGAATTAGAACAATTATTTCAAAAGTTCATATGGTACCAAAAAAGGCCTCAAATAGCCAGAGCAATCTTGAAAAGGAAGAACAAAGGTGGAGGGATCACAATACCAGATTTCAGGTTATACTACAAAGCCACTGTAATCAAAACAGCCTGGTACTGGCACAAGAACAGGCATATAGACCAGTGGAACAGAACAGAGAACCCAGAAATGGACCCAAGGCAATATGTTCAATTAATATTTGACAAAGTTGGCAAGAACATACAGTGGAGTAAGGACAGCCTCTTTAATAAATGGTGCTGGGAAAATTGGACAGCTACTTGCAGAAAAATGAAACTAGATCATCAGGAAAAAAAAAATGGCGGCGGAGTGAACGGAGCTACACAGACCGTCTCCCAGAACCAAACTGGAATTACAACTATAACAAAGACAAATCGACGGGAAAAACCAACAGAAAAGCAGCTTGCGAGGACCATACAACAAGGGACACTGACTCAATCCTGGTAGGCTTGCGAAGGCGCGAGACGGGGCTGGGAGCCCATGGTGGGCAGCTCCGCAGCAGCCTTAGCTGTAAGTGGCGCCCTCGGGTTGCACTCCCAGGCGGCTCCACAGTCCAGCCGGGACAGAGGCTGAAACAGCCACAGCCACTCACCTTGGGCTCCGGCACAGGGAGGGCAGACTGGACTGGAACTGTGTTGGGATACTCGGGGTTGGGAGGGCACTCAGAGCTTTGGCTGAGTGCAGCCACGCAGGACAGTGGCCACATTGCTCATTCCCAAGGCTCTGAGGAGAGGCAGCAGCCCCTCCCTCAGAGATCCAACCCCACCCTGTGGGCCATTGAAGTGTTAATTGAGGCTCACTAACAACCAGCATCTTCCCCACCCTCCTGAAAGCCCCTTGGCTGAGCACCAGAGGGAGTTTTTCAATCAACTGACAACCCAAAACTCATCAAGTAACCTAAACTGCTAGCCTCCAGGCAAAAAGCTAGAGGATAACAGTAGGATTCATGGGCTGGCAACTTTAACCAGAAAAGTAAGACTTGACAGTGGTGTTCAACTTGGGTCCTCCCTCGCTCATCTAAACACAGGAGAGGGAGCCACAAACAGCAGAACACCAACACCCACAGGGAGAACTTGACAGGCTCCAAAGCCCACATTGATAGCCAAAATGGTGAAACACAGAAACAGAAGCCAAATGAAAGAGCAAGACACCTCCACCGAAGATGAGATCAATGTGGAGCAATTAGGCATGTTAAAAGAGCTAGAATTCAGAGCCATGATCTTGAGGAAGCTGAACAGCATGAGTAAGGACATAGAGACACTGAAAATAAGCCAATTGGAAATTAAAAACCAACAAGAAGAGATAAAAAATGACATATCAGAAATGAAAAACACATTGGAAGGTTTAAAAAGCAGAGTAGGGGAAGCTGAGGACTGAATCAGTGAATTAGAAGACAGGGTAGAAAAAATCAACCAATCAGAAAAACAAAAGGAAAAAACTATTAAAAAACAGGAAGACAGCTTAAGAGAACTATGGGACAACTGGAAAAGTAATAATATTCGCATCATAGGAGTCCCCGAAGAAGAAGAAAATGAGCAAGGGATAGAGAATATATTCAAAAAAATAGTGACAGAAAACTTCCCTAATTTGGTGAAGGAAGAAGGCATTCAAGTTCAAGAAGCACAGAGAGTCCCAAGTAAGAAGAACCCAAACAGGCCCACACCAAGACACATAGTAATCATACTGCCAAAAATTAAAGACAAAGAGAGAATCCTAAAAGCAGCAAGAGATAAGCAACAGGTTACCTACAAAGGGAACCCCATAGGCTCTCAGCTGACTTCTCACAAGAAACACTACAGGCCAGAAGAGAATGGCATGAAGTAATCAAAGTCATGAAAAACAAGAATCTGAATCCAAGACTACTCTACCCAGCAAGGCTATCATTCAAAATAGAAGATCAAATAAAGAGCTTCCCAGACAAAAAAAAAAAAAAGGCTAAGGGAATACATTAGCACCAAACCAGCAGTGCAAGATATGTTAAAAGGACTGCTGTAATTAGCAGTAGAAATGGGAAGAAAAATAGAACCACACTAAACAAAAATGGCAATAAATAAGTACATATCAATAATCACCTTAAACGTAAATGGATTGAATGCTCCCATAAAGAGACACAGAGTAGCTGATTGGATAAGAAAGCATGACTCATCTATATGTTGTTTACAGGAGACCCACCTCTCAACAAAAGACTCACATAGGTTGAAAGTGAAGGGATGGAAAAAAATTTTCCAAGCAAATGGAAAGCAAAAAAAAGCTGGGGTAGCAATTCTCATATCTGATAAAATAGATTTCAAAATGAAGACCATAACTAGAGACAAAGACGGCCACTACATAATATTGAATGGATCTATCCAACAGGAAGATATAACCTTGATAAACATATATGCACCCAATATAGGAGCACCAAAATATATTAAAAATCTTCTGGAGGACTTCCAAGGAGAAATGGACAACAATACAATCATAGCACAGGACTTCAACACCCCGTTGACAGCACTGGATAGATCCTCTAGGCAAAAAATTAGCAAGGAAACAGAGACTCTAAATGAAGCACTCGACCAAATGGATTTAATAGATATCTACAGAGAATTACACCCCAAAACTACAGAATAAACAGTCTTCTCAAGTGCACATGGGACATTCTTAAAGATAGACCACATGATAGGGCACACACTAAATCTCTACAAGTTCAAGAAGATTGAAATCATATCTAGCATCTTCTCAGACCACAATGGCATGAAACTAGAAATCAATAGCAACAAGAACATGCAAAGACATTTCAACACATGGAGGCTAAATAGCATGTTATTAAACAATGAATGGGTCACCGAGGAGATCAAGGAAGAAATTAAAAACTTCCTGAAAACCAATGAAAATGAACACACAACAACACAAAATCTATGGGATACAGCGAAAGCAGTTCTGAGAGGGAAGTTCATAGCACTACAGGCCTACCTCTACAAACAAGAAAAATTTCTAATTGACTGTCTAACCTCACAACTTAAAGAATTAGAAAGCAAACAAAAAGAAAACCCCAGAGCAAGT